TTTTTTTTTGGTTTCAGCCATCATTGTTGTTTGGCAGCCTGGGCTGGATTCGAACCTGCCACCTTAGGTGTATGTGGCTGGTGCCTTAGCCACTTGAGCCACAGGCACTGAGCTGTCTCATATGTTCTTTAGCCAATGCTATTTGTCTAAAGGAGACATGGTTGGGTTACTTCCCTGTATGGCTATGGCCTACAAGATCAAGTCCAAACTCCTTGCTGTGATGTCTCAGACCTGTGGGCTATCCTAGCTCTACTGGCCCAGGCCTTTCTCTCTCACCTGCACCAATAGACTTTGCATTTTCCCACACCTCCCTGCCTCTCTTTGTTCACACTGTTCCCTGTGCCTAGAAAATTCATTTCTTCTCCTCTCCTGGCAGACAACTGGACATCCTTCTGTAGGTCTTTCCTTAAAAGAAAAAAAAATGTAATTGAGATTGTTGGCATATCATGATATTCACCTCTTTAAAAGTGGCTCTTAGTATTTTTTAGTATCTTCACAGTTATACAGCCATCACTACTATCTAGTTCCAGAACCTCTAGTAGTACTGATAGGAATTTGTTAGGTTCTTTTTTTTGTATTTTTTTTAGAGATGGGGGTCTCACTTTGTTACCCAGGCTGGTCTTGAACTCCTGGACTCAAGCAATCCTCTTGCCTTGACCTCCCAAGAGTCTCACTATGTCACCCTTGGTAGAGTGCTTTGGCGTCATAGCTCACAGCAACTTCAAACTCTTGGGCTTAAATGATTCTCTTGCCTCAGCCTCCCAAGTAGCTGGGACTACAGGTGCCTGCCACAACGCCCAGATATCTTTTGTTGCAATTATCATTGTTGTTTTAGCTGGCTCAGGCTGGGTTCAAACATGATGGCCTCGGTGCACGTGGCCAGCACCATAACCACTGTGCTATGGGTGCCAAGCCTGAGTTCACAAATTTTTTTTTTTTTTGAGACAGGAGCCTCAAGCTATTCCCCTGGGTAGAGTGCCATGGCATCTCAGCTCACAGCAACCTCCCACTCCTGGGCTCAAGCAAGTCTCCTGCCTCAGCCTCCCAAGTAGCTGGGACCACAGGCGCCCACCACAACACCCAGCTGTTTTTTGGTTGCAGCTGTCATTGTCTGGTGGGCCCAGGCTGGATTCGAACCCACCACCTTGGGTGTACATGGCTGGCGCCTTAGCTACTTGAGCCACAGGCGCCAAGCCACAAATTTTTAAAGTATTAAAAGATGCATAGTAAAAAGTCTCCTTCCCACCTTGATCCCATGGGCCCAGTTCACATATCAACATTTTTCCCAAAAATCATTTAAGCATATACAAATTCTAAATTGTATTCTTTATTTTCTCCTTTTTTCCCCTCACAAACAGTAGCTTACTCAACACAGTATTTTGCACTTTATAGACAATTTAGATAGGAGATCATTTTTTTAATTTTTATTTTTTTTAGTTGAGAATGTTACAGGGTACAAATGTTTAGGTTACGTGCATTACTTATGCCCAGTTTGAATCAAGGTTATAATTGTATCTATCCCCCAGATAGTGTGTATTGTGGGCCTTTTTTTTTTTTTTTTTGAGACAGAATCTTACTTTGTTGCCCTTGGTAGAGTACTGTGGCATCACAGCTCACAGCAACTTCAAATTCTTGGGCGTAAGCAATTGTCTTGCCTCAGCCTCCCAAGTAGCTGAGACTATAGGCACCCGGCTATTTTTTTCTGTTGCAGTTGTCATTGTTTAGCAGGCCTGGACTGGGTTCAGTGTAGGTGGCTGTTGCCCTAACCACTTAGCTATGGGCACTGAACTTATTGGGCCTACTAAGTGTGAATTTACCTGTTCCCTCCTCCTCCCTTCCACCTGCTCGATTTCTTTTTTCTTTTTTTGAGACAGTCTCACTATGTCACCCTTGGCAGAGTGCTGAGGTGTCACAGCTCAAAATAACCTCAAACTATTGGGCTTAAGCCATTCTCTTGCCTCAGCCTCCCAGTAGCTGGGACTACAGACGCCCTCCACAATATCCAGCTAGTTTTTTGTTATTTTTGTCATTGCTGTTGTTGTCATTGTTATTTAGCAGGTCCTGCCTGGTTTCTTTTTTTTTTAGGGACAGAGTCTCACTTTGTCACTCTTGGTAGAATGTCATGGCATCACAGCTCACAGCAACCTCCAGCTCTTGGGCTTAGGTGATTCTCTTGCCTCAGTCTTCGAAGTAGCTGGGACTACAGGTGCCTGCCACAATGCCCAGCTATTTTTTTGTTGCAGTTTGACTGGGGCCGGGTTTGAACCCACCACCCTTAGTATATGGGGCTGGTGCCCTACTCACTGAGCCACAGGCACCACCCCCTGACTGGTTTCAAACCCACCAGACCCAGTGCATGTGACTGGTGCCCTAACCATTGAGCTATAGGTACCGAGCCCATTTGCTTGATTTCCATTGAATTTTACTACCATGTGAACACATATGTGTTGATCTTTGAGTTCCATTTTAAAAGTATAGCTTTAGGCCAGGCACAGTGGCTCATGCCCGTAATCCTAGCATTCTGTGAGGCTGAGGCAGGTGGATTGCTTGAGCTCAGGAGTTCAAGACCAGTCTGAACAAGAGTGAGACCTTGTTCTCTACTAATAATAGAAAAACTAGTTGGACATTGTGGCAGGCACCTATAGCCCTAGCTACTTGGGAGGCTGAGGCAAGAGGATTGCTTGAACCCAAGAGTTTGAGGTTGCTGTAAGCTGTGATGGTCCAGCACTCTACCCAGGGCAATAGAGTGAGACTCAGTCTCAAAAAAAAAAAAAGGGCTCGGCGCCTATAGCTCAACTGGCTAAGGTGCCAGCCAC